AGCAATGTAAAAACAGCTCAGCTAAAGGTCTACTGAGAATGGCACAAGATCAAGGCTAAGGACTTATCTGTCAGTTACCATTCCTGTCACACAATGAAGGATCTATGGACTCACTATAGAGTTATCACTGTAGTTATTTAAGTTCCTCACTCTCGCCCCTTTCTCCAAGATCAGGGTTATTTACTGAGAGGCCATCTTGGGTTTAATGTCTTTCATGGATAAAATATCAAAATAAACAAACAACTACTACTACTACTGCTGCTACAGCAATCGCCTACCACTGATAAGCCTCTGTGGGCAAGGGCCAGTATTTTGGGAGATCCGATGTAGCCAGATATCTGGGCCAAGACTTCCTCTTCCATGCTCCAGTCATATTGGCTAATCTTTATTAACAGATATCTGCATATGAATGTAGAAAATGCAGAGAAAATCAGATATCACTGTATTTTTGACTCAGTACGTCGATATTGATAAGACGATACCTAGACTTGTATTATGTCCTGGTTCCTAGATTGCATTTCATTACACCTCTGAATCTTGTCCCATTGCCTATAGATTTTGCATACATATGGAGAATCTATTGATAGAGATTGCTACTTTGGTAAATTTACTGTTTCTTCTACGAGCAACCCAAGTGACAGAACAAACATTTTATGTTTCTGCAAACCTTGGGTAAGTTACATTTCACATGTAGCAGACATGTTGAAACTTTACATTTCTTAACATTCCAGTTTTTAATGTTGTCATAATGTTGTGGTTAATGTGTGGTTAGGTTTAGACAGGAAAAAAAACACTTGTTTAGCGTTAGGAAAACATGTTTTGGCTTAAAATACTGGGTTTGGTTGCCACAAACACTGCTGGAAATGTCACTGGTCTCAACAGTCTGCTGGTTGCCAGCCGTCTCGCCAAGGTCTCACGCCATCCACCATCCCATCCTCCTCTTGATGAGAAACTCACCTCATGTATATGTCATCTGAACTATGTCACTTTAGAATTGTTGATATGATACATATGAAACGTACAAATGTAAAACATGCAATGCCAATGTTTTACTCTGGCAACTGGGCTGCTACTAATCACTGCTGCTATAATACTAGCATTACTACCAGGCCTACTGCTGTTACTAATACATCAGTTGGCCACTTTAAAGGTCTAGTGTGTAGGATTTAGTGTGATCTAGCTGTGAGGTTGCAGATTGCAACCAAATGAAGCTCTAGCAAAAGTTCAGTCAGGCAGGCAATACTTTTCATGCTCAGGCTGTAAGTTTCTTTCTCGCCCTGCTATTCACTCTTTGCACGTATGCTCACTCACTATCTCTAGTTGCCATTGTCTCGGTAGGTCAATTGAGTCATCAGCTAATTCACAATCAACCAATAGCACAACCTCACACCTTCTCTGTCATTCTATCATCTTACTGCTCCTCATTTCAAATATGGTTCTTTCTTTGCTGTAGTTCTTTCTTGCTGCTGTCGTGTGCGCCCTCCACCTCCCCATCACCACCTAGTCTTTACGGGTTCATCAGCCTTATATGCCTCAGCAGTCGGCAGCCTCAGAGTTATCAGCCACCACCACAATGTCTGGACTCCATAGGGAGATTTATCCTGCTGCTGCTCAGATGTCCCTCAATCATGAGCGCCAAAGACTTCTTTTAAATCTTAATCAGCACAAATTATTTGTTAATCTGTACACTCATATTCTGTATTAAATATTATCTTTACTTCATTCTTCTGTCCCCCTTGATTGAAATGAAACTTCTTCATTGTGCCAAGTGTATAGGAATATTACGGTGGCCGACACTAAAATTGCAACGCGCAAATGACCCATCCAGAGCAAGTGCTTGGTTTGTCCTCTCTGGGCTACTGTAGAAACAAACATGGTGGACTCCATGGAAGAGGACCCACTCTGTATGTAGATATAAACAGCTCATTCTAAGGTAACAAAAACATGAAGAACACGGTGATTACAAACTAATAAAAACATAGTTATGAATATTATATTACATTTATGCCAATATATCCCACACACTGGCCCTTTAAATAACATGTCGGTACTTAAGTTATGTTTCTAGTAAAGTAACATGTCTCATGAGAATTAGAAACTGGGAATCAGTAGAGCTATTTCTAGTCAATGCTCCATCAACAATAGAGGGTGTTGATGGCTTCACTTCCAAAGGTAATTTCTAGTTTTTCCACTTCAAACAATTTAGTCATTATGTCCACTCATCTTCCTGGTGTCATACAGGTCACACCCATCATTGTTATTTTCACTTTCTTTTACTGTGTTACTGCACCTCTTTCTATGAAGAGGACTTGTGGTGATTGTAATATACCATGCCTTTTGTACCATATCAATAAAACACGATGAAGACATAATGTGATTCAGATTTTATTTTATTTCTTCACATTTAAAACCAATTTTTGAGCACCACTGAGAATCATGTGTGCAGATTTTTTTATCAGTTGCCTGCTTTGAGTAAGATTAAATTTCAGTAACAGTACTTAAACTTTAAATAGTATAATACTGCTATAACTGATAGCATTGCTTTTTCTGTCACTTTTCTGCTACTCACACCATCATTACGTTGTATTTCCTAATAGACAAAAGTATACCAAACTCAGATTGTGTGTAAAATACATATTAGACTATGTGATTATAATGACACGTTGAAATATAAATGTGCCTATTTCTTTCTTTCCTTTTTTCTGTATAGGTACAAAGTATTCCACTGACGGGCACAAGGACCATGCAGACTCCTCAGACAGAGGGGGCCGGGCTCTCTGTTTTCCCATGCACCACCATCTACTGACATTGGCCACTGCTCCACATTAAACACCCCGCATTCATAAAAAAGAAAAAAGAAGAGAGGAACCATCTGACAAGAGCAGCATCCCCTCGTAGCTGCCTCACTGTTTATTGCGCTCAGCACGTCGCCAGAGCAGAAGCCACACAAACTTAACAGAGGGACAAAATGGCCAAAAGTGAGATGCAGAGAAGAAGTTTGAAGAGTGAGGAGTTCTTTTTCGATTCCGAGGCGTCTCTCTTGGATCAGCAAGATTTCGAGATGTCTAGTTGCCCTTTCAATGACGTCTTCAACTCCAAAGACTCCCACATGGAGCAGATCAACACTTTTCTGAAAAACGTACAAGTTTTGCTGGAGGCTGCTCGGTTTCTTGAGAGCGCCGAGAGGAAGGACGGAAGTGAGTTTATATGTGCTGCGTTTGATCCTTGTCATTTGCCTCTGAATTTCAGGAAAACAAGACTTCATTGACAATAGACTCAGACAACAAAGGGCTGAGTTCATTCAACTAAGCACCACTGCCTGCCATAAGCACAGCCTGCACAAGACTAATACCAGTGATATACACATTGCACTTATAAGACAATATAAACACGTATGCTTTTATTATTATCTGGACTATTTGTATCTGCATTGTCTGCATGTTTTTGGCACTGTGCATCGCTTTGCGCCTGCACAACTCTCAGCCAAGGATTCTGTAATTTTTCCCTACAGCACCAAAAAAAAAGCAATATGACATAATGATTGGGTGTGTGGGTGTGCATGTTGGCTACCATTCCGATATGATAAATCTGACCACATTGCAGCGCCCTCCAACTCAGTTTCAGATGATGTCATTGTGTGCCCCCGCAGGCTCGATCGAAAAAAAGCTACAACTTTATACATAAAACGAAAACGACACAACTGAATTATGAATCGGACATATGTAACACATAGAAATGCCTCGCCTGGCTGTTTTATTTCCTTGTTACTAACTTCTATCGTGCAAGGAATTAAGTCGATATCGGTTTGATTGCAATTGCTCTCTCACATTGCAAATACAACCTGGCCTACGTATAATTTAATGCAGATTATTTGTAATAAATGCAATATTAATAGCGATTTTAAAAAATGAATTATTAATGATGTCCTCGTTTCCTTTTAACAAGTCATGATTTAAAGACACTGAGAAATTAGATGTTTTTCCGTCGCTTCCGCATGCGTCTGTCCGTACATGGTTGTTTCGTGCAGTAAAGCCGAGCATACGTGCTGATGCGCGTTGCAAAACTCCTTTGAGTAATATAAGCTATTACAATATAACGTGGGAATTTTGCAGCCGCACATCGCAGCGGCTCAGCTCTTCTCTCGATTGTTTGCTTCCTGCTATTTGGGGGCGTGTCGCACTGGTTTCCACATGGCGCAAAGCTCCTCTACGATTGTTTAAAAGCGAGCTCAACCCTCGACGCCTGTCAAAGCCATCCGCCAATCAGACGCCCGGTCGGTGGCGACGTCATGTGTTGCTGGGCCTGGCTTCAGCCGGCAAGTACACCCCCACGGTCCTGGTGAATCATGGGATTTGTAGGGCTTTATTTTTTCTTTTGAGGAGAGAGGATTGGGAATAGTGGTGTGGGAGAAATTAATGACTCACAATGAGTATTTGTTATTAGTCAGTGACACATCAAACAATCGATTTATAAATGATTGATGTCCTAAAGTAATTACTTTGTATGCTTTTATTTTTTATATAGCCTAAAAAAGTACTCATGAACAGTTGTCAGAATATTACAGGCCTGTCATCCAAAATAATGGTGATTTTTCTTTATAATAATCATTTATTCCAACATTCTGTAACGTCATTGTCATCAGTAGCAGCAATAACCTTGATTAAACTTTGCAAGAATAATAATCACCACATAAACTTCAAATAATTTCTGATGACCTGTGGACTGCAGCATGGTCACACAGACATATTTACTCATTATACTGGCCTGCCATAGTTACAGTTAAATCATAAAGTTCTAACGGACATGTTTTACTCGATTAATCGCAGTACATGCATGCTAAATTGTGAAAATGGCGAATTTCATGCATGTTTAACTGTATTTTCTAAACGCACCGAAAGACTCAGTTTCCCATAATGCATCGCGCACAGACCGGCCTCTCCTCCGCCCGGTCTCCGCCTCTCAGCTGTGCAGCTAGGTAAACAAACAGGAGAGGAGAGGAAACGAGTGGCAGCAGGCAGTTTGCTGGCGCTGGGCTTCCTCGGGGGGAAATTTTATATTGTTTGTATCCGTTTTTGTAAAAAATTGAATACCATGTTTCCTAGGAACTTTTAATACTTTGATACGCTGGTTTTGACATTTTCTAACAACGGAAACTGGCAAGAATTGGCTGTAGCTTGCCAGCTTGGAAACACTGGATATTTTTTTCCTCTTCTTTTCGTCAACGGCTGCTGATGAGCCAGCGGAGACACTGAACAAAATAATAATAATAACACGACGTTTTTTTTTTAAATGAAATATCACTCAGTGTAGTTGTAACCGATGCACTGTCTTCCCTGTATTTAAAAGCGACCTGCCGTTGCTGCTGCCAGCGAAGCTAACGGTCCGTTAACCTGAGTATAGCCAAGCTAACGTTAACGGCAGCCAGCCTTAGGAGAGGATGACGGCTGTTCAGCTAATGAATATCCAAAGGTTATTGGAAGCTGCGGAATATCTAGAAAGGAGAGAAAGAGGTAATTGTGTGTTTAAATGTGTGTAAACGACGGTAACGTCTGCTTTGTTGACTGCTTTTGAAATAGCTAACGATTACTGCTGTCTAACTGTCCAAGTGTTGTCAGCCAATTTCGACCTGTATGTTCACGTCGACATGTCGCGAAAAAAGTGTCCAAACTCGGGCTGGTTTCCCAACGGTTAACCACATTAACCACAATTTTTCTTTCAACAGAGTGTGAACACGGATATGCTTCGACATTTCCGTCAAATCAGAACACAAACTACCAGAGGCAAAGAAAATTCCGGAATAAGAAGTTCAGCAGTAACCACAATAGGTAAGAAACTACCTTATTCTCTTGTGTTATCCCTGGTCAGTGTCAGCGCTGCATTTATTTGCGTTTACTGATAGTTATTTGTAATTTAAAATGTCCTTTAGCTACATGTGATGTGTTGCAGACAGCATGTGATGATAACTTACACTCCCTGCCAACGCTTTATCGCAACGTTTGGTAAACAGGAGGCGAGCTGTCACCACAGGGTGAATACAGATGCTGGCAGCATGTTCACCGTCCAGAAAACAGACTTTATTCGATATAATAAGTTTGTATGGGTGTTTCCCAAACTTGTAGAAACGTATTTAATGCATACGTGTATGTATGGACGTCCACCCCGCTCTTTGCCTGGCTTGGGGGGAGGGAGTAGCACCAACGACTCTACTGGCTTTTCATCAGCTGATTGTCAAACGGACTGCAGTGGATGAGGTTAGGGATCGTGGTGAAAGTGACGGATCGAAAACGAAAAGACACGTTTGTAATGTTGTGCATTCCTCACAGTTCTCGCTAAATAAACCCGCAGGCTTTGCTTTGCTTTATTTTAAATTATTTTGTAGATTTCGATGGCAGTCATGAATTTTTTCCCCGATGACAAATGTATTCTACACTGTGGGAGAGAGGGATAGCTTTGCCTTCTGCCCTTAAGGCGAGAAATGGCTATTTATGGCCGTTGTTGTTTGCAGACTTCCTAAGGTGAATGTGTAGAGCCCTTTTCAGGAGTAATGATCTTTAGGGTAATCAGTAATTTTCTGTTTCACCTTTTTTATATACAATTAATTCCTACAAAGAAAAGCACATTTGCAACATCCACATTTTCTCTCTTTTTGTATGCAACACAAAATCTAGCTGTTGATGCATGTTGTGAATCATATATTTAACAGTGTATTTTATTGTGTAGCTGGATGTAACACTGTCTGATAATCACATCATCAGCTGCCACAAAAAGATAAAAGGTCATCCCCAGCATAGTGTGCCCACTGATGACAGAAACTTGCGTTTAGTAGTAGGAGAACCAGGCGAGAATTTCCTAAGTTAACGCCCATTGGTATTGTGTGTTTTTCTTGGTGATAGGCTGCTTACATTAATCTGTCCATTGACAGTCATACATCAAACGCAGCTCCACTCTCTCTCTCTCTCTCTCTCTCTCTCTCTCTCTCTCTCTCTCTCTCTCTCTCTCTGAGCCTTTTAATATTAATGTAAGAGCGGGCCACAAACAGGAACTGCGCATTACTCATCATGAGCGCACAACGCTGCCTAGTTCTGCATGGCAACAGTCATGATCAGATATAGGTCTGAGGCGGTTTTTACAAAGCTTCCAAAGAGTTGCCCCTAATATGGAAATTCTTAAGTTAACAGATTCCTCAGAACAACATTATTTTCAGTGTAAAATGAAATCCTCTGAAACCGAAAAGCTTTTCATGATGCTTCTTGGCCCTTAATATAGCCTCTAAGGTGAACAACTCTCGAGGAGTAGGAGGGTGCAATTTTAGAAAGATTTTCACAAGCTTGAAAGAAAAAGGCACCAAGAAGCACAGAGAAGAGAAATCTTCTGCCAGTGCCCTGTACCGAGGCGTAAGTACAGTTACACATAAAAGGCTGTGCAGGAATGATGTTTGGTCTTGCTCTCCACAGAGACACATTCACAGCTCACTCAGTGAGGTAACACCATTTAGCATTTAACACCGTTTCTCAGCCTCGTGATGTGATGCAGTTTATTTCGTTCCCACTGGAACTGCACACCTTGCAAACCAACAAAACAGCATTATTTGTATGTTCCCAGTGCTGTAAGGGTGGCTGATGGGGCACATGTGTGTGTCATTAGTGGTCTCATTTATCCAACAGTCCTATTTATGGCCTGCTGACATAGGAAGAGGAGAAATCTTGCTAATTAGTCGTGAACCATTTTCACTTCCTCGCAATGTCAGATTGCAATGTCCGCAGAAGCCAGAGAGGTTTGAACAAAACACCTACAACTCACATCTAGGGCAATATATCAATATTACAGGTACACTGATATCGTGATATGAGACTAGATATCATTTGGATTTCATAATATACTAAGTGTTGTATTTTCCTGGTTTTAGAGGCTGCATTAAAGTAAAGTGATGTAATTTGATTAACTTCCCAGACTGTTCTAGCTGTTCCATTATTTGCCTTTACCCACTTAGTCATTATATCCACCTTACTGATGATTATTTATCAGAAATCTCATTGTGTAAATATCTTGTGAAAGCACGAATACTTAACCCTACACTATTGACACAATATTGACATTGAGGTATTTGTTCAAAAATATCATGACATTTAATTTTCTCCATATTGCCCAGCCCTGTTCACTCCTCATATATATTTACTTTGAGGGCATTCAAAAATGCATGTTAAAATGACTTATTTGAAATATGACAATATAATGATTACAATTGCTAACAGTACTTTTTCTTTAAACCCAGTTTGCTGTAAGGCACGAGCCTGCTGCAGCCATAACTTAGCTACCTTCTCAGTAGCGTGTTGAGGCTTAAAGCGATGGGCTTATCTGACTCTGTCCTCTCCTGCGTACCGTTTATAGCAGGGCTGCTTTATCTCATTGACCCACTCTGTGTGTGCATGTATATGTGTGTGTGTGTGTGTGTGTGTGTGTATACACATGCACACATATGTGTGCATGCCTACAGAAGGAAGTGTGCTGCAGTTGTGTGTGGCCTTGAGCCAGTTTATAATCATTGTTGTTGAGCTCCAGACACGGAGATATCTGATTCAGGCAACAGGGAAAGCGGTCTGTGGTGATAAAAGCCAATGTGAAAACAAGCTGACTTTTTAACAAGAGGCCACACTAAGATGGAGTGTGTGTGTGTTGCTTGATTATGGGAGGCTTGTACCAGGGCTGACCTAAGGCCTCTCCCATTTCAGAGTAAACGGACATTAGTGTTGCCCTGAAATAGGCTTCTACTTCTAGGTAGTTATTTAGGTATGGGAAAATCAATTTTAACTTTTTTCATCACTGTCTGTAATATCACCAACTTTTAAAACGTGTGTTTTTACCATGTTTCTATCTGTTATGACACTGTCCTTTGATTCTCTGCAGTCATTTTGCATAAAACACTTAACACACTGCTTGACATGGCCACAATTGTAACAGTACCCCAAAATACATTGTCCATCATTCCTAAAGAGTGATAATTGGCAAAAACAAAAAAGACAAAACAAAACAGCCCTGACGTAATTACACACTACACTGAATCAGATTATGGCAAAATGCTCAAAAGTTTGGAAGAGATTACAAATCGTGATGAGGGTTTCCAAGCAACAAAGGCACAGTGCAAGCACAGTGACAGCTGATGACGCAAATTATGCACTCCAAAGTATTCATCTTCTGCTAGCAAAACTATTGCTCTGACTCACACAGTTTCAGAAATCGGTCGACTCACTGCCATTAGAAAATAATTATATAGTCATGTAAAAGCTTGCATTGTACACAAGACCATGACTAATTATTTTCCCAACAAAGAAATCATTTTGCAACTGTGAGTCCATTTTTGAGGTAACATTTAAGAGGGTAGTAGTAGCTGAGCAGAAGAGATAAAGCTGGTTTTAAATTTATGTGTTTTGTGATTTTTTTATGTGTGACTGGTTGGCTGATGCAGAGCACAGTCATGCATGACAACTACAGGGTTGTAGAATATGTAAGTCGAATCCTGTCAAGTCAAGAGTGTGCGTGTGAGCACTTAGGCTCTGACAGGTTTTCAGGAAGTGGCCCGGGCCAGCTTACATGTGAGCCCTGTGTTTTGCTGTGATAGCCAACCTGGCCATACACCTTGTCATGTTAAATCAAATACACCGCCACAGTTGACTTCACATTCAGTCTTGCATACCCAACTACATGAAATCTAATGTATTAAAATGGAGACATATGGTGTTTTTATTGGTGTAAATAATTAAACTTTGAAAAAAATAATTTCCTCTCAGGCAGGGCCAGTTTGTACAGACTGGACTACAGCCCTGGACTGGTCCCTCTATCATATCCCTCTCTACTTCCCTTCCTACCCCTTTTTTATCTCCTGTTTTCTCCATATTTCCTGCCAAGACGACAGTTTTGTCAGCTCTGTGTTAAGAGAAAAAATAGACGAGGAAAGCGTATTGCAGTATTGATAACCCACAATATAGAGGAGTGCTGTGAACATGACTCAGGAGAGGTTGAGTCCATCATCCCTTTCCCTAAAACCGGTCCCCCTTGAGGCGAGGGAGAGTGCAGTTTGTGTGGATGGGAACTCGGGCCATTTAAACATCAGGAGGAGGACTTGTCTCCCTTCAGTATGTTGCCACACAAAGAGACTCTTAGGGACCAGCTGATTCACTTTACATTATTAACAGAGCAATGAACCCTGACTGCTGCATGCACAGTGTGTGTGTGTGTGTGTGCGTGTGTGTGTGTGTGTGTGTGTGTGTGTGTGTGTGTGCATGCTCGCACTTGCCCAGCAGCACATGCACGCACATGCTCAGTGTGAACTTTGGTGGCTGCTGTTACACACACACACACACACACACACACACACAGAGTTGTGCTGTGCATTATTGAGGAATAGGCTGTATAATGCCACAGTGAATGCCTGGCTGTCACACTGACGTTTGTTGGCATAAAGGCTCCAGTGCAGTGGGCCTAGAGTTGGTCTCCTTTGGGATTAATTAATAAATTCATAAATCAAATTCGACAAGGTAATTCACTGTGCCTCTCTCGGAAAGTTATTATCTTAATGTTATGTCTTATTTCCCCAAACAGAGTGCATTGCCTTATTTAGGAGGAACAGACTGCCCTGTCCTCGTTGCAAAAGTCTACGTTTGCTCTTTATTTGACAACTTTTCTTTCCCGTCTTTGCAGGTCCACACACAATGAGCTGGAGAAGAATAGGTGAGTCTGCATTAATTTTTCAAAACATTTCACATTTAAATCATAAGAGCCCAGCCTGCAGGCACATGCACACCCTGCATTACATGTGAATAAGTCCATCATGTCCTACTTTCATTTTGCCCCGCTAAGTTTTCGTCCTTCCTCAAAAAAGCACTGCCTCTTCAACAGGTCCTTAAAACCAAAAGTAAAGAGTGACCCAGTTGTGTTCAGTAAAAGGCATTCCCTCTTCTCTGTCTTTGCACCTTTTTAGAGTTATGCAACAGTGTGGTTGCCAGGCTAAGGGCTTCAAGTTACAGGGGCAGGCAAGGGTGCATGCAGGCAGAGCTGGAGCTGAAGTCAAAAGTTCAGTGCTTGTATTGATGCAAAAGTGTTTTTTGATTGGTTTGTAGTAGCGGCAACAACATCAGCAGCCCTATATCCAAACAAAATGTCCTTTCAGTAGCTCTCAAGCCTGATCATAGTTCTGTTCTGAGTTGTATCTCTAAATTCAAGATAGTATCTACAGTGGAAGAAATGTGGGGTATTCAGGGAGACCTTGGCTTGTGGTAGTTTACAGCACCGTCTCTTCTGAAGAGACCAGAACACTGGTTTCTTAGAAGCCCTTATCAGATTGAGTTCACCACCCACATAGGGTGCTCGCTGGTGTTTATGCTCTATGACTTTGCAGGCTTCAGGAGTCAAGCCGTTAAGGGTTTTTCTTCGACACCATAAATAAGAGCGGCTAGACTTGCAGGATTTATGGTAAATGGAGAAAAAAGCTTGCCTTCCATTTCATTATCTCTGAGGGTGTGGGTACAATGAAAAGATGTGGGAGGCTGGATCCATTCAGTGTAATTACATATCACCTCGGCCTGTTTTTCTCACCATTCTCCCTGGCAGCCTCTTCTAAAAGGATGGGAACATTGGAAGGAGAGGCGTCCAGTGAGTTAAATATAGACGAGAGTTGATGTGTCATCTTGGTGCTCATACGCGATGCCACACAAGGCCAGCCGGTCGGTTGACTGGCCTCGGCAGATTGCGGCACTCATGCGGGGTCGCATTTTTCCAGTGTTCCACCCACACAAATACATTTTCAAAAAAAAAGAAAAAGGTGCCAGCTCAGATGTTTGTTCCTACAACAGTGTGAAGGCTTTTTTTTTTTTCGTCACTCCTTCTACATTCACAGAGCCAGACACTTTGTAGTATGGCCTGTTCCTATGGCCATTTATGGGCTATAGCCATCTCTGCCAATCAGAACAGACTAGTGTAAAGCCTGTAGATGGCAGAACAGAAGGGATCACTGCTGGTTCAGAACTGAATTATAGTGACTGCAGTTATAAACCATTAGATGGATAATTTAATTTAGGTGAAATGAAACTCTGTGCATAATAAAACTATTCGTTTTTTTGCTGATTTACTCACTCAAGTGCATTTGACAGCATCAGTTTCAGTTTTGCATCAATGTGTTTTCATTCTTGTTATGAGTACAACATTCATTAAAACTTGCATCCTCTCCCTCCTCTCTTTCCTGGCTCCACCTTGCTGGTCCATGCAGACCAAGAGAGAGAGAGCGCTGCAGCAGAACACAGTGGACTTGGGAACAGGCCGTCCTGTACCACACCACTGTACCAAATCCAGATATTGACACTCTGTTCTTTCTCCCCCCTTCTTGTCTTCGTTTGCAGTGTGGTGTTGTTGCTTAGTAGTTGAACAGCACAAGACTAATTCAAATTTCCATTAGCAGAGAAAGTGGGTAAAAATTGAAATGGTAATCCATCTTTTTAGAAGCACACTTAAAGTCAGAATCGTTTATAATCCCCCTCCTTTTTTTGCCAGCAGTTAATCCAATTCCCTTTAAGCACATGCCTCACTGTAAGCTATATGTATCAGGCATAGTTGTTCACCCAAGTGTGTCAGGCTTATACCATGATTCTACAACAGCAGCAGCAGCAGCAGCACATTTGGTTCCATCTCAGCAAACTTCCAAGTCGTGTAAATTGGAGCAAGCTCCTTTATGGTCCAGACTTACTGGGGCCCGTTTTTTTGCCTTTACACTTATCAACTCTGTGTATCTGCCGCCAGCGAGACGATTTGCCTTGCATGGCTACCACAGGTCCTGATAACCTCTGTGACGAGTAGTCTCGCTTTGACAGTGGAGACCACAGGACGTGGATAAAAGGGACCGAAAGAGAGGAGGAAAAAACCCCCCACCACATTCCAGATGCTTACACTGTGCGGCGGGACCAGATAACGTGGTGGCTCTGCCGCTTTGATCATGTACCTCCTAACAGCCCTATTTCACTTCCTCATGTCACTACTAAATTACATTGCCTCAGTAAGGTTTAACAGTAAAAGGCTTGTATGCCCACACGTCGCAGTTCCAGCGCTTTGATCTCACAGCCTTCCGCCTATTAGTTCTTTTTCTTCTAAACATGTTGGTAACAAATTCCCCAGCTCAGGTTAGATGTTGGGTGATCCTTGTTTGTTATACAGAAAAACGCAAAGGTATTCCATGGCCCGGAGTCGAATCTGTTATTCAATCTGTTGTTTTTTTTTCTTCCCTTTTTGGATGATGACTCTGTTTATGGATAATCAATACTACAGGCTTTTACTCGCTACAGTAAATCCACAAGAACCATTGCTTATCATTTACCCTCCTCGTCCACAGCGACCTATTCATTTTAATATTGTTTATCAAGGCCAGGGTTATAATACACAAGGCAAATTATTTTTTCCCACAGCACAATATTGGCTTTTCCGCTTGATTCTTTACGAGGGGAGTTGGGCAAACAGTGTGGGTTAAACACCTTTTCAGCATGTGCCTGCGGAATATTAAAAAGGCTCAGTCTTGCCCATTAGAGGTGGGAGCTGGGTGTCCTTGGGTGGCATGTAAGTAGCATCCGTGAGGTTTGCCCTCTCGGGATTTGTTTTGGCTCAGTGGTATGTGAAATGGTAAATGAAGATAGTCACGCCTCATTTGCCATCAACTGTGGATCGGTGTGGGTGTTTTGGACAGTCGCTGTTTTTATTTTTTGTATGCGTGTGAAGGTTTTGAAGTGTATGAGCTTATCAGGATATATGGTTAGATTTTAGAGCTTACTTCTCCTACTTAACTTAAAATATCCCACTGAATGTAACTGCAGTAACTACAGGCCTATGGTGATAGAGAGTAGTTTTAGTAACATGTACTCCAGGCAGTAAAACTCAGCACTGAATATCATTGAATAGGTGTCACATTTTTCAAATGGTACATAACTCTGTTGGGATTGAAGCCCTTCATGTATTTCCATTCTTTTTAACCAGTGGGCTATAGACTCAGCACTGTTGTTCCAGCCTTTGGGGTTGGATGAGCAGTCAAACATGAATAAGCCTGGGCTACATTTTCTCTGGCTGTCCTGATGCTCCACGAAGAAAGCCAAACTGCTTCACCAGTCTTTCTGTTGTCTGCCCAGTGAGTGCAGCCTATTCTCAGGCCCTGCTGCAGGGCCTAAAACTGGGACCATTTGTTCTGACCAACGTGACGACTTGTAAGCTTTTCTTGGCTCAGAAAAGCAGCTTAAGGGACTTGATCTTTGGTCTGGTGAGCCCAGCTAGAGCACACGCACGTGCTGGGGCACGCCCCCCCCCCCCCACCCGGTGCTAGTCCTTAATAGCCTACCTTGGCTTTGGCTTAGCTAACAACAGTGTCAGAGGACGAGGAAGTAATTGACAGGCTGATGGGATGAGTAGAGGGATAGGTCAAACACACCTGACTAAGGGAAGCCGTGAGCATCACGCAAGCCTGATCCACACTCCCACTGTGTCAGCGTGCGCACAGTGAGCATTTCCGACCTGTAATTAACACAATGAGACATGAGTCAGTATCAGGGTAGTACTAGTAACCACAAACAGTCTGATGGTGACAAATTGTGGCTGTGGCTACGAGTCTGCTTCCTCTACCAACCAGTGTAGCAGGTGCCCAGCTGTTATGAGGTCGTATCCTTCCCCTAAAGTTAAGTCGGCTCATACGATAGTGAAAGTTCCTTGTTTAAGATGTACTTCCTTGTTTAAGCCATGTACTTCACCACAGGAAAGCACCAACTCACTTCAACGTACTTGCATTTTCACTTGTGTCGTGTGGGTGTGTAGCTCTGAGTTGAGGTTGAGGAGGAGTGAATTACCCTGCATTGATTTCCCTTTCAATCACACCTACATACTGGGTTGCCAGGTTTCTGACAGTAAAAGGTTCTTTTTTTTGAATTTGCTCTCTCAGGGGGCCAGTCACATACCTTATTAAGAGAGGCACTTGCCTTTAACATCAAGAAATTGAAAAATCCATACCCCTAAAGAGAAACAGTGTAGATCAAATACACCCAGTTTTCTCACTTCCTAATACGCCTATTTGGGGGGAAACACACAAGCATCAGGGGGGACAGAGCACTGCTAAAGGATGAAATAAAATAGAAATGAGCAGACCTTTTTAAATGTTCACTGTTAATATAAGCTCAACACTTCCTGCAGCTGCGACAGAGACTTCCTAGTAAAGACAGCTGAGCTTGATATATTGCAGTTTTTGTAGCAAATTATATGGAGTAGCATCAACAGAGAGACAGTCAGAGATTTTTTTTATTTGCTCTGTTGTTTCAGTGTCAAATGCTTTAATTTGAGATTGATAGCAGCTACTTGAAAAGTGCCTAGTGAGAACTTAAAAGCAAAGACTGCAGACCCGTACAGTTCTGTGGGCATATCCTAGCATTCCCAGTGGCTTGCTGTCAGATGGTAGAAGACAGTGTAAAATTAGAGGTCACCATTGTTTTGCCTCACATCCTCAGAAGCCATCCCCACACAGATGTTCTGCAGACAGGTGTAAAGTAGGGCTCCACACAGGGGATTGGATGTCAGCACTTGAAGGCTCACCCATCACTCTGGGCTTATCTTGCTCTTCTGACCCTTGACTCGTGTTTTCTTGGCGCCTTCTTGTTGTGCAAAAGTGCATCCACGCAGCATTCTGTGGAAGGACAGTGTAACCAAAAGCAACAAGG